AGAGAGAGAGAGAGAGAGAGAGAGAGAGAGAGAGAGAGAGAGAGAGAGAGAGAGACCCTTGCTGGTCAGGAATGATCCCGTGGTCTATTCTTTAGCCCGAAATTACCTTTGCTCGGGGAAACCAATATGCGTTTGAACAAATATACCAAATCGTATGAAGTCCTCACCAGTATGTGGGGAAGTATGACGCCTGTCTACAGTGCAAGACAGGTATCTCACTATTGATGAAACCCATTCATCACAGGAACAGCCTCCATCAGTCACATCGGCCTTAGTCAAAACAAAACGAGAAACAATCTGGTCTAGCGCTAACGAGCAAAACATTAGAAATACCAGGGGCACATTGCTACAATTCTACCCAAACACAGGTGTGTAATTGTGTTGAAAGGAAACTGCTTCTTACGATTGAAACATACTGCTTCCAGAAGAGAGTTACACTTTTTGGATTGTGCTCCGACGTGCCGACGACTAAAAACAATTATATACATTGTCATCCAATCTGGTATCTGTGATGTTTTGTCGAGATTTCGAGAAATACGTGGTAGGTTCACTTTTCATGTGACACGATAACATTGTCGTGTGATACCTGATAGAAATACATCTCGCCTGTCCACCGACCACTCGCATTCCATTATCAGTCACATCCGTATCAACACTACACTGGTCGTACAACATCAAATCTTAATGAATAAATGACATGTTTCATATTACAATGCCCGTAAAGCTAAAGGGCTTCGTTTTATATCACATTAATGATCGCATCTTAAGCAAGGATGAACAATACAATACAAAAATTAACCAGCCGCAGTTTGATGAATAATTCACAATCACATTATCTGGCTTGAAAATCCAAAACCATACTTGGCAGTTGTCTCACCCTTAATATATTTTTCACAAATGTTGGATAGGACACTGAACGTTGCCAGCCTAATGCACGTTAAAAATAACATAATTTTTCCACATGATGTTCTTATCACAAGATACTGGTCTCATTTACAAGGCAGGTGTTTCGATCCAGCCTGGCAGATATTGCATTTATTCATAATCTTACTTGAAATACCATCTATAAGCTCACTCCAGCCTGTAGAAGGTTAACGTCGGTTTAATTCCAGCGTTTGTGCCTGAACTTTCATCTCTCAGCATGAGCGGCGTCAACACGAAGCAATGGGGTTGATGTTACTTCTGTACTTAGTTTTTGTTGCAAGAAAAGTATTCGAGCCTAAATCGGGATATCACATTTTTCTACTACCTTGACTTCATAGTTCGAGCTTCTTCTTTGGGGCAATCTGGTGCCAAGAAAAAAACCTTATCTTTGGCCCGATACTGTAGTTATTTGAATTATCACCTTACGTATGAGCGCTAAAACGTTGGAATGTCCCAGATTAGCTAAACAGGAGGCTAAAAACTTCAAAATCGTTGCAGCAATAAGTATATATTTTATGCCTGCCTTATCGTGATCATTCTGTATGTTCGAGAAGGTTTGTGTAATGGCTGTATCCCCCATGAGCTTGGTAATGTGTGTTTCCATAAAACGGTTTATTGCCAATTCCCGTCCAGACACCTTTTGTTGAACATTGAGCGGGTGTCTTTCATAAGGTATTGTTGCAATCACTGCACGCTAATAACAGTCGCAGTCCAAGCTTATAATAATCAACATTGATTGATTGTCTGTTTTCACTGTGACATTAATGACCAATGAACATGTCTGACAATCAATACGGAATTGTCAACATGATTGATCATACCATACTCAAGGATATTGACCGTAACTATTCAATATATGTAATAACATTTATTTGTAATTAGGTTACATAAGCTATTAACGGCTGTGTCCTTCATTCAATAGTTCCATTACCTTTTGGTTATCTAACACATGAAGAACATTTGGTATAAATTGAAAGCAAGCAATGTTTATCTAACTGACAAAGCGATATTTCTCTCAAGCTACTTTTTTCGACATCTTTCTTGGGGGGAAGATTAAACATTCTTGTGTCAATGGTGGAATTTGGTCATAGCAAGGGTCAGATACCTCATTTTAAGCCTTGAGGTAGCGTCCTTAAACATTCTCAGATAGAAGATCTTTGTTTTCGCATGGCCGGAAACTGAAGCCAGACTCTTGGGGGTTTGAAATCGTATGGAAACCCCGTGTTGTAGAGTATGTACATAGGAACACCTTCACCGTTTGATAGTCTCAGTGCTCTTGTTAGTATGTGCTAAGTGCGGTAAACAGACTTTAAGTGCCTGTTGATGAGTCCATGTTAACTAAACGAGCAATGACGGAATAAGTCTGCCCATTTAAACACAACGATACTGATTACATATTGACATTTATGTGTTTAATATAGATCAATGTAGGTGGGACAAAATGACAAATACATCCTTCCAATAAATGCACTGGCAAATGGCTCATTACTAATGTGTTGGCGAAGGCATTAACTGTAAATGTATATCCAATATAGAATATGAAACATATGACACACCAAACTGAAGGACAAAAGTGACAAATATATTTTCATACACATTAAAATTATTAATGCGAGCTTCCGATAGTAATTTGGCAGCAAAGGCGTTCAATCGATATGCGAAAATATCCAATAAAGATAACATCTTTGTTGAATATGACTGAATGTGAACACATTTGTTTCCATAGCGATGGCGTTTCATTACAAGGCAATGTGTTCCTATATTAAGAGAACATAATTACAGAAAGTTCATATGTTCACAGAAGTTCAATAGAAGGAGGTTTCTCCATGAAAAGGTTCTTGATGTCTTTCTGCGAACAAAATTGTACGTATTGGGGTTAGAAGTTCGTGAATGACACGTTGATTACATATATTCGGAGTTGACTAGAACTTTTCACGCTTGTGCACGTCAACTTAATAGAAGATCCGTCGTCCACTTAGGACTACAATACTGCTAAATACAGCAAGGATCACATGGCACGAACACAGACTGACCACTGGTCAGTAACAGATCGTCCAGACGTTTGAAAGAGAAATGTAATAGGCGACGTGACCGATAAAACGTTACACGTTTCTTGTCTGTAACGCAAGGCTTAACTGTTGATATATTGCCGCTTTATTGAAATGGGTGCCCGCTTAAACTATGTCTTATTAGTCATCTCGGTTTCATTTCCTCTGTGAAATGTCTATAATTAAGCTATATACACACTACACTAGTCACAGTGAAATGAAGGGATGAAAAGTGAAAAGTACACACTTAAACCAAATCGATTTAAATTGAATCTACTGTCCATGAATAGTATAGGCTAATATTTTTGCTTATAGTATATGTGCTAGATACACATGTCACATTGATGGTTATTGAAGACAATCAAATGTCAACATTTTTCATACTCTAATCATAGGGTTGAGGAGGGTCCATATCATTTTGACGTTCATTTCAATAACATTATTTGTCGAAGTCTCTCATATTTTCACATGTGTATTGCATGCATGTCCTACATTTAAGACAATCTTAATGTATTTGACACATGTGGTGCGAAAGTCTATATATATCTATATATATAACTCTATATATATCTATATATATATATATATCTAAATTTTTATATAAATATCTATATATATATATCTCTATATCTCTCTATCTCTCTCTCTCTCTCTCTCTCTCTCTCTCTCTCTCTCTCTATATATATATATATATATATATATAACTCATGTAAACGGGGGTAGGAGGTGAACACATACCAAAAAAAAAATTATTCCCCCCAAACCATCCATGTCAATATCAACACGGCATTGATCGATAATCGATACATAATGATATCAATGGCATTCACATTGGCTGTCGATCTTACAGCTGATGTTATAGACATACTTTGTGTTACGTACATTGCAGTCACCCTGTCTATTTCAGGCAATGATATAGATGATGCATCAGTCGTGCATGTCATGTATATAGCAGAAACTGTGTAATGCACATGTGTGCATGTCATGTAAATGACAGTTTTCGTGAGATATATCAGCATACGTTTCATGTACATTACAGAAACTGTAGTATGAACATGTCATACACCATCAACAGCCATACACATGGGCATCGTCTCGGTAATGTACATTGAATTCCATGTTCCCACCTTTACCGTGAATGGCGGAGACGGCTAAGTCAATGATTTAGTAATCAATACATTATTATTCTCTTATCTGCATTTCATGTTATCAGGATAGTTTCCTTATTGAGATGACTAATTAACCGTGTATGAAAATAACATCAAATTGATAAGGACAATCAAGATATTTTCAGTTATTTCTCAGTATTTTTGGATTCGATCTCAAAGTTCAACCTTATCTATTATATGTTAATGCATTTCAAAAAATGCCACAGAAACGTCAATGTGGATGCCACGATGTCAAAGCGAGATTGTGATGAATATTATTAATCATGTGTACTAAATGCTTTTGTAGCTGCATTCTTTCACATCATTGTCATGAGCATTGGGATAACGGCAAATATATTGATTTTGTGAAGGTTCACTGAATAGACACTATATCAAAATCTATTGGGCGCTGACCATCGTGAAAACATGCCAAGCCATTTTACTCAAGGTTAAGGAAATACTGTATAACTTATTAAACTTTACAACACATGTCTATGCATGAATTCTATGAAATCATCATAAGATCATTAAAATGATATATAAAAAATACGAGGTGATTTTTTTGCTTCTTTTAATATCCTTATTCTCCTCACCTTGCAATTTACATTGGTATTTAATGGACTTGGAAAACGTCGGAAACAATCCTGAAATGTTAAAGCATTTCATTCCTACTTAAGTTATAGCTAATGGTTGTTGGGATCTATAATGTGAGAATATTACAAACTATTGATGATGAAAACGGGATCCAAACGAGTCATGATTAATTTCAATTTACTTTTATGAGAACACTACACTAACGTTAAAGACCAATGCCATGGTTAACGTTTAAGGGGTTAAGCAAAGTGCTAATAGTTTATTGAATAACTGTCTATTGACTTACCTAATTGCAGCAAAGCGGAAAAAAGGAAAAGTTCCCTCATGTTTCGAGCCTCGCCTTGTTGACTCGTTCATACCTTCAATAACGAGAGGTGTCAGGGTAATCCGTCACAAAATTCACATCAATTCGCTCTGCATCTTACTATCGTCTGCTTGGCCTCGTGTAAACTTCGGGGGATTAAGACAAAAGTTTCCTTCACAAAATAGTTCCACGGTCAGCAATATGCAAACAGAGGACGAAGCCGAGTTTGTGAATAGTCCTCCCTACGTCTTTGGCATATCGTACAGAAAATGAAAGACAAACATGTGGCCCCCTTAACTCTCACAACAGTAAGTCTGCGCGCTTACACGCGCGTTAGCCTTGTATCTATTTCAAACGCCGGCTCCCGTCCGTCAAGTTCCGCGGAAGCGATCGATTCGTGAGGCGGAGCTGTGCGGCTCTGCGTGGCGTATGTATCTCTCCCGCTAGTTTGTTATTGATAGGGGGAGAGGAAGGGGAAACTAGTGGAATCTGGGGGTAGGATCCCTAGGGACGGGCTGAAGTGTGATTTATATAATCCACATCTGCCCACTAAATTCGCTGCGGTTGTTATTTAATCTGGCGTTCACGTCTATGAATTGAAAGGACATTCAGAGCCACACAACTGTCCACGACGGTGTATGCCTCCGTCGAGGTGATAATATGCCCAATTATAATTATGTCGCAAGCATGTGGACGTTTAATTGGGGAAATGAAATTTGAATGAGTAGAGATCAGACATGGATGATATCGCGCGCTTGTAGTTAATTTCAACTTTGTGTTTACTGATGGGAGAAAGGACAATGACCGCAACACCAAACGACCAGCGTCCAAGAACCAATTTAGTAATGTGGTTTCAAAATACATGCATTTTAAATAGAGAACATTTGATAATTGATATTTTTCAAAATCAATATACATAACCACTACAATGTTGTACTAAACATTACATTATATTATTGTGAATTTATTGATGACAGAAGTGTGTTCATATGTGATAAAAACTGAACATTATGGGATGTTGAAACCTGTGATCATCTTCTGTGTGATTCACACCTATGTTATTGTTAGATCATGAACACATGAACATCATGAACATATGAAAATTCATATCAAATAGATATCATTAGATAATAAAAGTAACTGTATTGATTGAACATGCATCCTTCGGTGCAAGTCTATTATTAAAAATCGAGCAGCTTTAACACTGAACGCTCGGATTTAGACCACAAACTAATTTTGAATTGAACGTATTTATGTCTTTATTTGATAAAGACAGGTTGATCGAAGGAACTGATTAAATAAACTATTAAACTCAAATATATTCCCGTCAACTCGGACAGCTATGATAAAAGAAACATAAACAAGACAGAAAAATCAAAACTCTCTCGCAGAGCATGTTTTTTGCACAAGCAATAAATTCCAATTTTCATGCGTCAACAAGTTTGTAAATTTGTTTCACGGAAAGAGTAGTAAATGTCTTTCCTATGCTAACATCCACATGAAAAGTTTAGCTCCAATTGATTGGAGAAAGCCCCAAGCATTGAATAGAATCACCCCAAATCCAATAACAGCTCGTGGCCTGTAAATTAATCTCTCCCTTGTATTTTCATTCGACGTTAGAATGAATTTAAGTGCATTAATATTTAATCTCGAGGAAATGGGAATGTGACACTGTGGATAAGCGTATGAGTGTATCTGTTTCAGGAGCGTTGTACGCCTATTGTCCATCTAACAATGGCTGAGAGAACACTAATGTAATATTTAAGCACCATACGAACATTTTGGTAGCACATGCTTCTTGCGATGGCCATGATAAAACATCTCTACGCTTTGATAGTGTGAAAATATCACCCCTGCAAAAAATAGGTATAGAGTAGATTCAAAATTACAATACCGACGAGACACAAAAAGTAGAATTTGATTTCATTTCTATAATAGCTGTGTACCAAACATGCTATACGCATTATGAAATACAATAATTTACAACGATTCATGTGCCCTGGACATTCATGTTGCAGAAGTCAATGCATATTTCGAGTTCTGGCACACAACCACGCCATAAAGCGGAGCTGGCTTGAAAGCCCTGAAAACCATGGTGGTATGGGCTTTGCAGTGCTTGCATGTATTTGCTGGAAATTGTCATGATTGACCATAATGAAGCGTCAGGTAGTTTGCGTGTTGGATAATTGTTGACCGTCTTACAACGAAGGCCTACAGAACAATTTCCTTAACCGAGATACTGTCATGATGCGTTAAAAGGATGTTAGTCGGCTTCGCTTTTAACAACATCGGATATACAGCGAATCTTATTTAGGAACTTTCGGATATTGCAGAGACGTTTTGAAAGTCCCTTGAATTTCGATCTATGCATCTATCTATCTATCATTCAATGGAATTGCCATGCGATTGTTACTAGAGATAAGCCTATCCTATAAACATGATTAATATGTTCTTATTTTGTGTATGAAATCGTCTACATGCCAACATTTGACACGTGATACCAATCCCGACATTACATTTCAAGATGAGTGAATGAGTGAGTTTAATAAATATATTTAAAATTATAGTTATATTGTGATTTACACACTTGAGTAATCATGTAATAATTTTAATTATACACCCAAATTAAGTACGGAGAAGCACCTATCCTAAAATGCCCCACAAATAACTGAAAACATGAGAATAACTATGAGACTTAAACCGTTCTTGAAGGACAGGCGTCTTGTGCTTCTTCGGGAACATGCATTGTCTACTCTCTAATTGGAGCGTTATCATCAGTCACCTACTGAACTGACTTGCACAAATACGTATATCGCCGGCTTAAGCAAAATCACCGGTATCTCTTCCAGTCCCGATTCCTGCCCTTCTCGGACATCCAGTGGACCTCAGTTCTGGTGGGAGGGAGAGGTGGAAAGTTTGCTGTCCGCCGCACTGTTAATAGCCTTTTCGATTAGATAAACCCACAATGGCATCAGTTAGGACGGTCTAGTCTGGCTTTTTACATGTCGATGATAAACCGTGGAGGTTATCGCGATTAGACTGTCCAAACATATCCATCAACACCTACGACCTTTGTATTGCCAAGTAAATTATTCAGTTTAAATTACTGACGATTGTGACATTATCTCACTAATCACTATTCAATTAACGCAATCTGTCTTCTAATAGTTGTTTGTTCTGATGATTTAGATTACAAGGAAATCGATGAATGGCGATATCTTGTATGCAGATAATATTTGTTTGCTGTTCATTACCGTAGACTATACAAACGGTCATAAATACGGATCAGTGTCAAGGATGGCATCTCACGACTGAGATATGATATCTGATGATTGCAGTTGCGTGGATCGATACTCGTGATGTCAATCACTGGATTGTCTGTTCCACACTCGATTATTATGAGACCGCCGTCATAAAATATTGCAGAGTGCGGTGTTAAACAACAAACAAACAAACCCCCAAACAAACAAACTGGACAGACCGCAGACTGACTTCATTAATACCTAGTGAGGTTGCAGCAGTGACTTCATCACAATCAATTTATAATTGTTAAGGCAGTATAGTTCAATCAGATTTAACGGATTCGCATATACACAGTCCTTTCAAATCAAATTCTATAACCGGCGACTTTGTTCTTGTGAAAAACGGGCTTCGAATATTACGAACTAATTTTAAAGGTTATTGTAGTTCGTTACATCCGAAAGTGGTCATGTACAGTGAAACCTCGTTAACCCGAACTTCATTAACCCGTTCAAGATGAGGTATCTTCCCGGACCCCGACGACTCATTATCAGCACACCTGTCCAACAGTCAAATTTCGCACTTGCTTGTTTCAAACTATAGTTTGTTCGATTTATACTACTCAGAAGAATTTAAGGGTCCCCCGATCCTTTCATATTACAGCAGCTGTAGTTAATCCGTCATGCCATAAAAGAATCGGGTGTTCTTTGACTTCACACCATGACAGATTAAGTATAGTAATAGGATGAATCGGGTGTTCTTTGACTTCACACCATGACAGATTAAGTATAGTAATAGGATGAATCGGGTGTTCTTTGACTTCACACCATGACAGATTAAGTATAGTAATAGGATGAATCGGGTGTTCTTTGACTTCACACCATGACAGATTCAGTATAGTAATAGGATGAATCGGGTGTTCTTTGACTTCACACCATGACAGATTAAGTATAGTAATAGGATGAATCGGGTGTTCTTTGACTTCTCACCATGACAGATTAAGTATAGAAAATGAAATAATCGGGTGTTCTTTGACTTCACACCACGACAGATTAAGTATAGTAATAGGATGAATCGGGTGTTCTTTGACTTCTCACCATGACAGATTAAGTATAGAAAATGAAATAATCGGGTGTTCTTTGACTTCACACCACGACAGATTCAGTATAGAAAATGAAATAATCGGGTTTTCTTTGACTTCACACCACGACAGACTAAGTGTAGTAAATAAAATAATCGGGTGTTCTTTGACTTCACACCACGACAGACTAAGTATAGTAAATGAAATAATCGGGTGTTCTTTGACTTCACACCATGACAGATTAAGTATAGAAAATGAAATAATCGGGTGTTCTTTGACTTCACACCATGACAGACTAAGTATAGAAAATGAAATAATCGGGTGTTCTTTGACTTCACACCATGGCAGATTCAGTATAGAAAATGTAATAATCGGGTGTTCTTTGACTTCACACCACGACAGACTAAGTATAGTAAATGAAATAATCGGGTGTTTTTTGACTTCACACCATGACAGATTAAGTATAGTAATAGGATGAATCGGGTGTTCTTTGACTTCACACCATGACAGATTAAGTATAGTAATAGGATGAATCGGGTGTTCTTTGACTTCACACCATGACAGATTCAGTATAGTAATAGGATGAATCGGGTGTTCTTTGACTTCACACCACGACAGATTTAGTATAGTAAACGAAGGAATCGGATGGTCCTCAACTTCTTTTGAGTGGTATATGTTCAACAATTCTGAGGACTTCGAGTTAACGAGACTCTGTTGTGCTTTGATCATCCCATGTGTACACTGTACGAGAAAGCTGAGCAATAAGATGGGAAATGTCTCTTGGCAAAGTAGATTTATAGGATTAGCCTATTTTCTCAATGCTACCCTACCGCCACTGTTCATAAGCTTTCTTACCATAAAACCCCAGATGACACAGGTACCTTATGAATTAATAAGGTATTGCCGCCACTATGGAAGTTAATCATTGGGCCTGTTAGGTTTGTAAATATCTGTCATCAGAGGTTATTGCTTAAGAAAGCTATCGCCTTCATTAATGCAAATCATTTCTCTTGATCTTTTCTTGTATACGCTGTAGCCGTGTACAGTTGTTCATCACATAT